AAAAATTGTTCTGTATCTGACATTTTCAGTTCAGTAACCTCTTTTGGACATAGTATGTCCATAGAAGCAGACATCATTACTGACACTGTTGATATAGTGGCTACTATTTTCTGATTCCATTCTTCAGAAGTCTCCTTCAGTATTTTTACTGACATAACCATCTTGCAGGCCTATATATCTTTCCTCTGCCTAAACTATTCATTCATTCATTCATTCATTCATTCATTCATTCATTCATTCATTCATTCATTTTATTTGGCAACCCATCTCAAACAAGTGATTCTGGGTGACGAACAATCATAAAATCAATTAAAATCAAATTACAATCACAATACAAAAAGAAAAATAAATAAATACAGCACCTGAGAAAATTAAAATCCATAAATGTTAACATAACCAGGAAATGGGGCCCTTCACACACTCGGGACCCCAAACCCAGGCACATAGCCAGGTCTTCAAGGCCTTATGAAAGGCCAACAAGGTCGGGGCCATTCTAATCTCTGGAAGGAGAGTGTTCCAGAGGGCAGGTACTACGGCAGAAATGGCATGCCTCTTAGTTCCCGCCAGCTGACATTCCTTGGCTGACAGGATCTGGTGCATGCCATCCTGCCAGACTCGATTGGATGGGTATAAACAACTGGGAGAAAATAGTCCCTCAGATTATCCAGTCCCAAGCCATGAATGGCTTTAAAGGTGACAACCAGTACCTTGATTTGCACACAGAAAGACACTGGCAATCAGTGAAGCTCATGAAGCAATAGTGTTACATGTCCTGAGTACCCAACACCATTTACTACCCATGCAGCTGCATTCTGCACCAGCTGAAGCTCCTGAGTGCTCTTCAAGGGCAGCCTCACATAGAGCACATTGCAGTAATCCAGACGGAAGGTCACAAGGGCATGAGTGACAGTGAGCAAAGCCTCCTGGTCCAGGAATGGGTGCAACTGGTGCACAACCTGAGGTGTGCAAATGCCCTCTTAGCCACAGGTACCACCTGCTCTTCCAGCAGGAGTTGTGAGTCCAGAAGGACCCCCAGATTGCATACTGGGTCCAACTGAGGCAGTGCCATCCCATCCAGGACCAAATGTGGAAAAACCTTGACACCAAAATGCCCAAGTACCCAAAGCCACTCAGTCTTGCTCAGTCTTGCTTGGGTTGAGCCAAAGCCCCATCCAGGCCCCTACAGCCTCCAGGCACTGGGATAGGACATCCACAGCATCACTCAGGCAGCCCAATTCCAAAATATTATTGAAAAGTTTCAATAGTCCAATTTTATCTGGACTCTTGATCTGTTTATAACTTTCTAAGATCAAAATCTTACTTAGTTTTTTGCTGTTTATTTCAGATTCTTTAAATTCTTAAGCTTATAATTAAAGTTTTCTTTCATTCAGGATTAAAGGCAGATTCACCTGACATTGAAAAGTTTCAATAGTCCAATTTTATCTGGACTCTTGATCTGTTTATAACTTTCTAAGATCAAAATCTTACTTAGTTTTTTGCTGTTTATTTCAGATTCTTTAAATTCTTAAGCTTATAATTAAAGTTTTCTTTCATTCAGGATTAAAGGCAGATTCACCTGACATTTTCAAAATTGTCATTCTGAATGTCTCTAATAGCTTAGAAGTAGTTAATGAGCAATTTCCAAAAGTGATTAAACAGTTTGCGAACTTAGTGTCCTTGAAAAGTCTCCGCCGCGGTTTCGAGCAAGATGATTAATCCTGTTGTCTCCCGGTGCTCAAACCCATGGAAAACTGCTGTCCTGTGGTCTCCTTGCAGGGGGCAGCTATCTGGAGCACATGTGGGCAATCTCCCATCCTCTCCTTATCTGGAGAGGTTTCAAGGAACCGGTTTACTCGCTGGTTCCTTGGTTTTTGCCGCAGTCATCAGCTCTGCTTTTGCAGAGCCATCTTCAGTTCACCATACCTCCCCCAAAAATCCCCACAAAAGCTTATGCCTTTTAATAATATTTCTTAGTTAGAAAATGTGCTACCAGACTCTTTCTGACTTTTTTTTCCCTTATGCCCCTAGCCTTTCCATGCTCCAATTAAGAAAAATATATAAATAAATAAAAATAACCTGGAGAATCCCAAATCAATAACAGATTCAGCTTTTGAATCACATAATCAAATTATGAGTTCCATACAATTGGGTACTTCTTTTATTATGACCAACCAAAATCTGCAAATGAATATGTAAGCATTCAGATTTTCCAGACCCATATAGTTCTTTTCAGATGTCACCAAGCCAGTTTAAGGTATTTTTTCACTGAAGATGCTGCTGTCTTAGATTAATATCTGAAGTACATCTGAGCTACGTATTCTGTGAATCTCCAGAAGATAGTAACTGTACATTTAGGAAAGAAAGGATCCCAAATCAATTAACTAGCTCTTCTGTGTTCATCAGGGAGCAAATTCATTCCAGAGATCCTAGCATATTACTGATTTCATTTGTCTTGTGGTGGCTGGAAATGCATACATGTTTATCTCTACGAAAAAAAAGGTGAAAAATGGCCATGGATTTGTTTTTTAATGAATGAAGCAATAAATCATTCCAGATTGTACAGAGATAGAGCTTTCTGTGTTTTTGTATTTCCTGTATAAAAGGTAGAACAGCCTGGTTTTCAAAAGTCCCTCTTTCAAGTTTGTTGATATTGAATAATCCACCTCTGGTATCCAGCAGTTACATCTTGAGAATCTGGTGTTGCAACTGCTGTCCCTTAGGCGTGATGATGCAGGAAGTGTTGCACTTATATATGAACCACAGACGAACAGCTTATTTGCCTTTCCTCAATCCCCCCTCCCCCACCATCCTGTTTTTTTCATTTTGGAGCTCTCACTTCAGTCAATCCTGCCAGGTTTAGGCCTAGGAGGAGGCACAGATGGTTTCTCTTGGCTAATATTTCATGCTGACCTTTTGATCAGTGACCCCATGAACCCACTGCTGTAGCTTTGCAAAAAGGGAAATTTCTTTGGCTTGGATTGCTTGTGATAATGACTCTAACGTTAACCGGCAGATGTTCTTGATTCATATGAGAAAGCTGGGTAGATCTACTGCTACAGCAACTCAGTTGCTTTTTAGAAATCAAGAATTGGGAAGACAACGATAAAATTATTAGTCTAATCAGTAGAAACTTGTAGATTCTGATATCTGATTTGTTTCTTTATTAGGGTTGTTGGACTGCCAAGTGTGAGTGTGTGTTTCGTGTCCATGTCCCTGTGCCTTGAACACAGCTTCCTTGTGGGAATAACGTAGAAGGAAAACTTCTGATGCAGAGGATAAGAAACTTGTAAAGTTCCACCAATACATTTTTGTATGTCTTTAAAATTGTTAAAACTTTAAGGAGGCTAGTGGGGGAAAAAAAGCTGACACCTCCAATTATGGATGTTGTGTCTATTTTCTTTCACTGTTTCTTTAAAAAACAATTTTGTATGAGAAAAGAATACATGAGATCAGAATTCTGTTGTGAAGTTTGAGAAAGAAAAAGTGTATTTTTCCCAACTCCAATTTTAGTATGCTTTTGCAAACAATAATATTTGAGGACAATATTTTACATGCAACACATGAAGAGGGTCAGGGCTCTGGCTGCACTGTGATGGCCACTATCTTGACTTTTTTGGCACCCACCCACCCTCTGGAGACTTCTCTGTTTGTTTCCAAACCCTCCATATATTGTGGAGATGTATGCGTGTAGATCATGTCAAGCATTGTAACTTTCCTTTTGATGAAACAGCTGAGCTCTTTGAACTGCTTACCCTTAATATCTAAGATGCAGTAAAATAGTAGAGCTTGTATATTACCTCACATATCAGTTGAAAGAGACTGCTTTTCTGTGAATGCAGTTTCCACATTAATTTGCACATCTGCAAGTACAAACCCCCTGTAATGCATAAGATAAGATTGCTGTGAGATAAACATCAATTCATTACCTTTGAGGAAATATTAGTATAATGGAGGTAATTCTTCAAGGTAATTGCGGTCTTATATTTAAGGTTGCTACCTTGGCAGTGAAATTCAAGGTTTTAGGTTCTATCGATGTGCAAGAACTTTCAAATTAAGTCCTTTCACACAAAATTAGAGGGAACCCATATGTCATCTTCCTAAAACTCTCTTACTCTGTGCTATTATGTTCATGAAGCTAGGTAAGCAGCTGCTTTGCTCTCATGGTTGTTTATCACACTTGTCATAGAAATCTTTGGAGAATTACCTCATCTGATTTTTGAGTCCATCTGTCATCTTTTCTGGACCTTAGCTTATAGCACACAGGGCCTCTGAGAATGCATCACTTTTCCAGGTGCCACCAACCACTGAGAGATACAGAAAAAGAGATGCATCTTGGTATGTGATATTAATCTGATACATGTGCATACTTCACAATCCCCTCCTTACCATTAATGTTTTTCCATATATTTTATACTCTGTTCACAAGATTTCATGGTGTGAAATTGCCCTTAAAAGAGCAATATAACATGTTATTTGATTAAGTCTAAAAAGCTCTTCAGAAGCATGCAGATCTTCACAAGCTATTATGAAAATATTGTAAGATTTCCTGGCAATGTGGACCTTCATTCTACATCGATAGTAGCTACATGATGAATTGGTGAAAGAGAATTTAAAAGACAAGACAGGAATGCCCCTTTCACCTAAATTTATTGAGTAATTGATGTATATTTGTTTGCTTTGCAGAGTTTGTACTGATTGCTTCAAGGTTCAGATTTGCAGATTATCACTTTACAGAATTTATGCTTATTTATTTTTCTGATGTGAATTTCAAAATAGTAAAAGGTAGCGAGAACGATATAAAAAGCCACCTTGCAGTGGGAAAATGTTTTATTAATGTTATTTGTGAATACATCTTTAGTGAATAAATTCCTTCCAGTACCAAATGGGTAAAAAGTACAGGTAGTCCTCATTTAGCAACCACAGTTGGGACCAGCAGCTCTGTTGTTAAGTGAAGCAGTCATTAAGTGGGAAATCATGTGTCTGCCACTATGCTTTCCTTTTCCCCACTCCCCCACCCTTTGGATGCTCACCCTGGCACTAGGTTAGCCAGTTGAAACTGATAGAACTAATCAGTTTCATACCTTCCCCTTTTGTTTGCCTCCTAACCACTCCCCCCACCTTTGGAATGCTCACCTCATGCTGGGATAGCCAGCAAGAAGGGAATTAATGTTTGTATTTACATTCATTGGAGAGGAAAGGATTACAAGACAGTAAGCAGGCACACGGTGGGGAATACACATTGAAAGCAATGTGGTGGCACAGCTGCCAGGAGCACACTATGCAAGCAGCCTGGTGTATTCCCTATTGTGTACCTGCTTATTCTCTTGTAATCCCTTCCTCTCCAATCTCTCTGCTCTGTGGGAGGGGGAGGGAGAAAAAAACAGGTCAGGCACAGAAATTCCTTGGGTTTTTTTCTCCCCCCCCCCCCCCCCTCTTCTCCCTTCCTCCCCCCTCCCACGAGGGGGGGGGAGAAAAAACCCCAAGGAATTTCTGTGCCTCACCTGTTTTTTTCCCCCCCCCCCCCCCCTCTTCTCCCTTCCTCCCCCCTCCCACGAGGGGGGGGGAGAAAAAACCCCAAGGAATTTCTGTGCCTCACCTGTTTTTTTCCCCCCCCCCCCCCCCTCTTCTCCCTTCCTCCCCCCTCCCACGAGGGGGGGGGAGAAAAAACCCCAAGGAATTTCTGTGCCTCACCTGTTTTTTTCCCCCCCCCCCCCCCCGTTTATGCGATCTCTCCACTCTGCAAGGAGGGGGGAAAAGAAAAAACAAGTGATTTCTATAGGCAGTCTCTCCTGTGTCTGGATACATTACTGTATATTTCTTGGCAATAGGAAGGAAGTGGTTTGTGTTGCTTTCTTTGGGGATTTTTTTTTTCCTGATTTCCCAGTCTATTGCCTTGGGACTTCCAGGTAATCTCCCATCCAAGTATTAACTAGTCCTGATCTTGCTTAGCTTCTTTCAAGATCACCAAAGGTTAGTTTGTTGCTGCAAATTGCAGTGGGGAAGACTCCTTTTTTTGGAAGCCTTTCAGTACATTGTAGAATTTTCAGTCTGTGAAGCACTGCAGATTGACACCCTTGGCACAAATGTATAATTGCGTGGGATTCATGCTGATTTGAAACATTTTGGCATAGTTTGAGAAGTACAATTAAATTGTTTTAGAAACTTCATCTTTGGATCTTTGTCCCCTTTCTGTGGACAAGCACATTTGTCCACCTAGTTTCCATGTATCGTTGTGTTCACTTCTGTCTATTGCTTTTATATATATAATAAAATAATCATCAAAATAGCATTTATACAGCACTTTTTCTAAAAGCTCAAAGCACATCACATAAATTATCTCAATTCTTAGATTATCTGTTTACAGTTATTATCAAGTGCATAATCGGGTGGAGATAAAGTCTTGGTATAAGCCTTTGGATTTGTATATTTGCTCTTTCTTTTTTATTAGTAGTTTAGTTTACACCCTCTCCTCATTTAGTGACTGAGTTCTGTTCACTTGGTTGTTAAGAGAAATGGTTGCTAAGTGAATGTGTGACTGAGAGAGAGATGCTGAGAAGATCATTGGTTGCTGCCATCTCATTCAGATAAAGTCCTCTCATACAGTGTCCCATGCCTGATCTGTTTTTTTCCTTTTTTTTTTTTTTTGCCCCCTTGCAGGGGGGAAGATTGCTTAAACAAGCTACTGTATCTTTTCCTGAGCTGCTTTTCTCCCCAGCACAGGGCTTCCCTAAAAAATGCTAAGGGAAAATTAACAAGTTCAGCTCTGTGATCTTCATTAGTTGATTAGAAGTAATGAAGCCTGGGCTGGCTCTCTCTGCTGCCTGAAACTGACCAGACCTTAATCAGTTTCTCTCTGAAGGCTTTTGTTGTCCTAAATGGTATCATGAGCTTGCCTAACACAAACTGCTAATGGTTCAAGAATTAAGTCAAAGAGCAATGGAGAAGATAGACAACCCTGATGAGTGCCACACTATAACTCAATTGGTCCAGAAATTAGTTTTTACTCTTGCTGTTGGTTGCAAATAGTACATTTAATCTAGTTAATAAAAGAAAGTAGGCATTCATATCCCAACATAACTTGTTATGAAAAATTATTCTGAATCATATCAAAAGCTTTTTCAGCATCTGAAGATATTAGTACAGTAAAGTCAATCTTTTTTGAGCTATATTCAAAATGCTTATTAATAAACATACAGTAAATTATCTAATACTTATCTATTTTTAATAAAGCCAGACTGAGATGGATGAATTATGTACAGGAACACTCTCTAATAACCCTAAACAATTTATATATGTATATATGACCATTACTTTAGTGTATTATAACAGTCTTCCCAAACCTGGTGACTTTGAAATGTGATGCGTTATGGTTCCCATAACTGGAGGTTGAAAACCACACATATCTGGAAGGCACCCAACTGGAGAAGGCTATATTCTGTGGAGATGGACATCTTAGGGAAGAGTATCAGAGAAGAACTTTGGAGTATTGTCATGTGGCTTCAATCAGCATTATCCTAGTTTAGTGAATTTAATCAGCAATATCCTGTGCATGATCAATAAACAAACATATAAAAGCATGAACCATTAGTAATACAGTAGTCCCAGGGCTAAGAAAGCCCGATTTACGGATGACCCATAGTTAAGAATAGAGCCCATTGTTGCAAAATTTGAGTTATATGCACAATGATTCGAGTTAATGGTTTGGGACACAATGGTTTGAGTTAATTACACAATAATACTGTCCCGGCTTACATACAAATCTGACTTAAGGACAGACCTTGGAAACGGAACTCGTTCTTAAACTGGGGACTACCTGTACTGTCTAATTACTAAAGAATATCTTATCGTTCTTCCTCTTCAGTCATATGACTAAGGTTGTACAGCTTGAACCACTGGAACTTACTCCTAAATATATGCACACATTAATATGTTCTTAATGCTGTAATATAATACTTACCTCATACTTAATTCCCACTGATTTTAAGCAGAAACACAATTGCATGTTGCTGTTGCTTGATTTCCTTCAGTAGTCATTCTGAGGTTCTGTATTTCTATTTCAGTTCTATAACATAAGCATTTGTGGTTGTTATTGTTTTAGTGGCGAGTCTAAAAGCTGAGAATCATGACAACTCACGTAACACTGGAGGATGCTCTGTCCAATGTGGACCTGCTGGAGGAGCTGCCATTACCAGATCAGCAGCCATGCATCGAGCCGCCTCCATCATCCATTATGTACCAGGTAACCAATACTTCCTTAGACATCATACCTTAGAGCAGTGATGGTGAACCTATGACATGTGTGTGAAAGGTGACACACCACATTTTAGGTGACATGCCAGCATTCACCAACACCCGACAACAACTATTCTCCCTGTTTGAGTTACTGAAAAGAAACTGAATTTGTTTTACTCATATTTCATTTTTGTAATTATTTGACGTTTCTTTATATAATATACAGTATAGCACCACCCATGATTGGACTGTATTTTTTTTTTAATAAGTGAATAGGTAAAGAATTGTTTCTCTTTTGTTCGGGGGGCATGGTGGTGTGACACACCAGCAGAGTCAAGTTAGGCATTTTCTGAATTTTTGACATGCCAAGCCCCAAAGGTTGGCCGTCACTTTCTTAGAGTAACTCATCAATCATGTTTTGAAGATAAGAAAGTTTGTCAATGGGGAAAATAGAGGACAGTCCCAAGAGACAGATAGAATAATGTGGAAGAGGACAAGTAAAGGAGCAGGAAGAGAATACTAATCAAGGGATAGTTTGGCTATAAAGCTGTATCATCATTTAGTGGCATGGGAACAAGTTAATTTTTCCTTGCACTCATATTTTCCCTCCTTCAGGAGTCTGGAAGTTTTTGCTTCTTTTCTTTTCTTTTCTTTTTTAATTTAGCATGAGGCTATCTTGGTTGAATCTGGACAAACAGTATCTTTAGAAAGATTAGTGGAAATAAGCCACATTATATGAATTGGCTTCTTTTGACAAATCAGTTAAAATTAACCACAGTGTAGACACTGTACTTTCAAAAAAGCCTCTGATCCCTTGGTTGTTTCACAATGGAATTATAAGAGGTATACAAGCTTGGCTAAACTTACTGTATGCTCCTAATGTCAAAATATTTTTTTAGTGTTATGATAAACCCAACCCATACTTTATATTGTTACAAACTGTGAAACAGTTATATTGTTTCTTCAAGTTCAGCAAAATGTGTATATTAATATAATCCATAGCAGTGCTTCTTAAAGTGTGGTCCTAGGACCCCTGGGGATTCCCCAAGACCCTCTCAGGAGTTAACGAAATCAAAATTATTTGCGGCCTATACTGGAAAATAATACAGTATTCAAATCCCATCAAACAACTGTGAGAAGTGGTAGTGGCAGCAAATGCATCCATTTTAATGTTTAATAAGGTAAATATCAATAAATATAATCCATAGAAATGAAAGGTCGTTTGGGATCCTCCATAATTTTTAAAAGCAGGAAGGGGTCCTGAGAGAAAAAAGTTTAAGAAACATTGATCTATCAGAACCCCTGATTCTTTTATGGAAAAAAGTAAATTTAGAAACAAAAAATAATATTTTGCCAGCTCATGAAGCAACATAATTCGGTTCACCCCTCTTACCAAATTTCATTCAAACATTGTGTATACTTCTACAGCAAGCTGCCAATGCTGCACTAGTCGATGTTTATACCACCCAAATTTTATAAAAGATTCTTATCCTGTAAGTGCTATGGGCCAGTTTTTTCTTTCATAAGAAAATTAGGGTTTCCATTTCTGTAATATTTACAACTAAGCAGGAGGCTGAAGTGATGAGGAGAAAGGATAAGAAAAAATTAGTCTTATGCCATATGTTATTTTTATTTCTACCATTTAGGACTACTATTTAGATTGTGTATTTAACTGGGGTGGAAGAGAGTTTACAACAGATAAGTCCTTTATATAATTTTCAGCAGTTCCCTTTCACAACTTTTTTCTCATTGCATTCTATGAATCACTTCCCTGTATTTCAAGTTCTAGCCAGATTCTCATTCACTGACTATCCTTCATAGGCAGCCCTGACTCTTTGGCTGCCCTGTTCATTCTGTATTAAAATATATTTTGCTGACAGAGTTGCATTCTCACCACAACAGAGATCTAAGAAGCATAAATTCACAATCCCAAATTTTTGCATCAGCCATCCCATAGTGAATTACCACATCAGACAGTTTTTTAAAACTTTCCCCTCTGCGTCCTGCGTTGACTACCTGCATAGAGGGATTAAAAAGGTGGTTTTGTAGTTATGTATATGCCCAAGTGATCAAATGATATGTGCAGTTACCATATGAATAGTGTAATATACACTTGATCTTAGCCAAAATTCTGAGAAGCTAAATCACTAAATCACTCTTATGCTAATATTTATTGCCATTTTTATTCTTGGTTCTGATTTTATCTTCTAACAGTATTGCTGTTTACTCTGTAAGTGTAAGTAGTGCTGTTTACTCTGAAAGTTTTTTTTAATATTGAGATAGATAGATAGATAGATAGATAGATAGATAGATAGATAGATAGATAGATAGATAGATCGATCTTTACTTTCTATAACCTGATAACTGTTTTATACCTGCTTAATTTGTTTCTGCTTTATTTCTATAAAGTTTTATTTTTCTCTGTTTTAACTGATTGCACATTGCTAAATTAACTCTTACTATAGGACAGTGGAAAATTTCTGAAAACAAATGAAATGAAAATCTAAATAAAAGGAATGTCTGACTATGTCTTTATTTGTTCTCAGGCCAACTTTGATACTAATTTTGAAGACCGAAATGCTTTTGTAACTGGCATTGCTAGGTACATTGAACAAGCAACAGTGCATTCTAGCATGGTAGGTATCAGATGATCCACAGCTGATTGAAGGGGACACGGGATACTGTGGAATTCTAAGTACTTTTATGTGACAACTAGCACTGTTATATTGTCCCAATGTGTTTCAGAATGAGATGTTGGAGGAAGGGCATGAATATGCAGTAATGCTTTATACTTGGAGGAGCTGCTCCAGAGCTATTCCCCAGGTAAGATGTGCAGTTGAATTGTAATCTACTTCAGTCAGAGAGAAATTTCTGTCTGCTAGCAAGAAGAAATTGAAAGAACGAAGAAAATGGTAGAAAACTGAGAATAAAGTCTTGGAATAAGGAGTTTTGATATGGGTCCCAGGATACTCTAAGAATGCTATAAGCTTCTCTTCTTTTTCTCAGCAAATTCCTAATAACTTATAGCACCCAAGGAATAATAATCAAGTTATGTTAGTGCCATCCTGGGTCACTATGACCAGCTTTCGACTACCAGAACGTCCAAAGGAACAAATCACTGGCAAATGAGCATTCACCCAAATTATTATTTTATTTCTTATCTAACCTATTTTTAGATTACAGAGCCAGTGTGGTGCTGGATTAGGAGTGCAAAGACACAGGTTCTAGTTACACTTCAGCACAGAATCTGGATGGGTGACTTTGGGCCAGTCATCCCTAGACTGGGAAGTTGAAAAACATTTCTCTACAAACTCACACTGGACCAGTGTATAGATTACACTCCATAATTTTTTAGTAAAGAGGCTTTCATCCTGCAATTGATTGGCTCAGGATAATCATTGGTGGTATCATCATCATCATCATCATCATCTATTTTTATGTTGTGTTATAGTGTTCCGTGTATCCAGAATAATATGCATAGTTAATAAAATATGTAAGAAAAACAATTATAGTAAGTTAAATGCATTGCTAATATTTTCACACACAACATTCATATCAAGAAGGCTGGAATGAAGAGATGGGTTTTCAGCAAGCTAAATATAAAAGAAATAAAAGTATTTGGCATCTGAAGAGCTCATGAATGCCATTCTTTGGCAAGAAAGGTGACATGTAAATTAATTTAATAAATGAAGTAAGCATTGGTTCATTCTGATTTTGAGACCAAATTGAGTAAGAGGATGATCATGTATGTGGTGGAATATCATTCCTGGTACTAATTACTTTCTGACAATCTTTATATTTTTCTCATTTAGAAGCCTTATAGCTGACAAACGATGATACTTCATTTGTCCATGAAAGTCCATCCCATACTAAATTGGGTTCATCTGTAAAGTGCCTCAAGATTCTCTGTTCTTGCTACAGCAGACAACTACTCCTTTAGGTGTCCATGAGGACTATTAATACCAAATGGTTATGTTGACTTTCAGGTAAAGTGTAATGAGCAGCCAAACCGAGTAGAGATTTATGAGAAGACAGTGGAAGTCTTAGAGCCAGAAGTCACAAAGCTCATGAAGTTCATGTATTTTCAGGTAGGTGTTAGATATGCTCCAAATTCCTATGCTTCACTCTGGTTCCCTTCACCCATTATTGTTGAAAATATGTCTTCTGCTGTTTCTTAGTTTACTGTACCATTTTTTGTGGTAGACTTACCTCAGTAAGTTGGCTTTGCTAAGTGCTTAACGTTGTTCTTGTCCCCCACATGGTATCTTGTTTTGATTTGATTTATAACAGAGGGCAGTATCTAAAATTATATGAACAAATTTCTGCAGACTGCACCCATCCCCACCCACATATATCTGTGCACCTCCCAAGCTTGTTTTGAAAGACATCTCTATTCTCCAGAGGTAGATTTGATAGTGTCAGGGAAAAGTAAGCATTCAGTCCACTTGTCATTTTGCCCACAAATGAATGTTATTGGATGCAACACAGACAGTACTCAAGCTCTTGTCAATATTGGCTGACCTTTCTTTCTGCTTGCCTAAAAAGACTAGTTACACAGATGTGGGAAAACTGTTCTCTAGTCTAATGTGAGGTTCATTGTGGTAGGTTTTGAAAGATGTTTAACTGCACCACAAATCATAGTCCAAATCAGCAAGCCAGAGGACATGACCCCAGATAATGAGAGCCTTCTGAGGTGGAAGATAATATGATAGAATCAGACTAAGCTAAAAGTAACAGTGGAAATACTTAAAACTTAACAACATCATAGCTGTGGTCTGTTCAAAGTACATAAACACACAATTAGGGAATACAATAGAATAGAGATATTATGGTCAAGTGTGGTGGCCACTGATTGTTTAATTATGCCACATGAAGTCCTATCCTGCTCAGATATGGGTTCATTTTCGTTTCTAATTTATGTCTGTTTATCCGTTAGCATATCTGAAAACAGACAGGTTTTAAAAGAAATAAAAAGAGAATACAGATTTTTTCCTGAATCTCCCTCATCACTTGAATCCAGCTGTTCTTTTAGTATAATTATCAGGAAATGAAAGTATGTGTGCGACTGCCAGGTAGAAAGGCACCATTCAGTTATTTTTCTCTCAGAGGAGAAAATGCAGGTGTCCCCAAAGCTTTTGGGTTGGTGGGTCTACTTGAAAGTTTGACAGCGTGTCATGGACACTTTCACGAGGTGGAAGTTGAGGAGGGCATTTTCTTACTCACATTCTCTAGAGGCATGGTGAGTAACAAAATGCCTGTTTTCTAACAGATAATTTGGTGAGGCTAAAAAAAAAGCAAATCTTCCAACTACCAAAAAGGAAAAAAGCAGAATCAAGGCCAAAGCTCCTTATGTTAAATGTAAATTCATCCCCACAGTGTGGGGACAGCCGACTAACGGTTGATGCTAAAGAAAATATCTCTTTTCTTTAGAACATATACTCTCTACCAAAATAGAAACAAAGAAAGCAAAATATGCATCATGCCAAAAGCAAAACCAGGAAAAGATGCAAGTCAGCCACCACACACACATCCATGCAGAAAAACCAGACATAAGACCTGGTATACAAAAACAAATACGTCGCAATGATACATTTGGCACAGCCAAAAGAGTCCCTTCTTTTTCCTTCCTCCAGAGTCCTAGGATGCTTCCTAGTACTTCCCCAGCTTGTTTTGATTGTTTTCTGGATGTCACATTGGGCCAATCTCCATTTTTAGTTTCTTAGAATGCTTCACGGGGCCAGTTATGTTGAGGATACCGGATCAACTGGGTAAATAAACATCAACTTCCCTTGACTCTTCAGGAGGTGGAAATAAGGCAGCTTCAAGTTTGGCCAAGAGTTGGTGGAGTCCCATGATCCTAATAAAAACTCACTTCTCAGCAATTACTGGCAATGCTTCCCCTTTTACCTCTTCTTTAAATTATTGATGTCTTGCTATTTCTTAGAGAAAAGCCATTGAACGATTCTGTAGTGAGGTCAAGCGTTTGTGCCATGCAGAGAGAAGGAAAGACTTTGTTTCAGAAGCATATCTACTGACATTGGGAAAGTTTATCAACATGTTTGCGGTCTTGGATGAACTGAAGAACATGAAGTGCAGTGTCAAAAATGACCATTCTGCTTACAAAAGGTGAGATTAATATGTATGGATGTATTTTATAGGGTTTATGGCCATACCAGTCACAGCCTTCCTCTAGTTCTGTTATTAGCTGACAGAATTGCTGGGATCCTTGAAAATGTGGCCAGTGCTTTACCTGGAATTAATAGTATTTAGTCCTGGAACAAAGGCTTCTAAATCCTGTTTGTGTCAAAATATATTTCCAGTAGAATAAAGTTAATGAAACAGCATTTCTATATTCATTTTGTGGCACTGGCGCCTTTTATAAGTCTCTGTTACTCAGTCATATACTGGCATGGTGTTCCAATATACTGACGCAATTGGGTTACTGTTGTTTTTCAGAGCAGCCCAGTTTTTAAGAAAAATGGCTGATCCTCAGTCTATTCAGGAATCACAGAACCTCTCCATGTTTCTGGCAAACCATAATAGGATCACCCAGGTAGAATATTCTCTTTTATCTTTTCTTATATATTATGATATGTAAATACATTTACTTTGACCTAACATGTATGCTTTGGACTCCAGTTTTGAGGACACAGTCATCATAAGGAATATTTACCACCATAAAGCTTTAATCTGTATTTGGGACTTTTGGTCCTACTAAATGCAAGTTGTTATCTAGGAAATCAGTCAGCTTGACTGTTTATGAAGCACTAGGCATTATGAAATAATGGTGGAACTTGTACAACTATGTACAATTCTATGAAATAGCAAACACTGTGCAAGGCTTTTAATCACATTCCCCTAGCAACCAAATGCTGTGGATTTTTATTCTATATAACAGATGAGTTCACATCATATCATATCGCATCATACACACACAAACACATACACATATATATATACACACACATAGAGTCAGGTATAAGCCCTGCTAATCTTTTGGCATAATCTGCTGATTCCCCTGTCTGTTCCATTTCAGTAGAGAATATCTGTAGCTCAGGGTTGAACTGTGGAGTCCTTGGTGCTCTCTGAGCTTGGTTGTTTGCTTGCAGACATTTCATTACCCAACTAGGTAACATCATCAGTGCAAGTGAGTTTAGGGTTTGGTCCTACATACAGTATATACAGTAGCTTGCTATGAGGTTGTAATAGTCTGTTAGTTGTTTCTGAGATTTTTTGATGTATGGTAGTGTTATGTTTTTCATAGCTTGTGTTGGTTGTGCTGTAGTGGGTTGAGTGGTCAGGCACTTTTTGATAAAGTTGAG